CGCGAGATCGAGACCTTCACCAGACATAACAAGACCACAGAAGAAACCTATTTGCTACACTTATTAGTTGTTATCCTAGTAACCATATATAGCGCTCATGCGCAGTGTTGACTCTGGGATAAGTTTAGATGTTATTATTTAGTTTTTAGTAGTATTATTATTAGTAGAATTATTAGTTAGTTATAGTACTTTATTAGTTACTATTTGTAGGCACCTTGCCACTGTTGTGCAGTCCTCGCCATAGCATGCCATAAACCATGAGCCAGGCGATGGCCATGGTGAAGAACAACTCCCATCTGAACTCATTTACGTCTCCGATCCCAGTGGAGATCTTCAAAACACGATTCCTAAATGACAGCAACATGAATGAGTGAGAAAGTGAGAGAGAGAGAGCGAGAGAGAGAGAGAAAGAGAAAGAGAGAGAGAGAGAGAGAGAGGGGGGGAGGAAGGAAAGACAGCAGAGGAGAGAATATAGAGAGCAGAGAGCGCGAGAGGAAGAGAGAGCGCGCGCGAGGCAAACGAGAAGAAGAGGAGAGAGATGAGAGAGAGAGAAAGAAAAAGAGAGAGCGAGATGAGATGAAAGCGAGAGAGAGAGAGAGAGAAAGAGAGAGAGAAAGAGAAGGGAGAGAGACAGAGAGAGAGAGAGAGAGAGGGGGGGAGAGAGAGAGACAGAGAGAGAGAGAGAGCGCGAGAGAGAGAGAAAGAGAGAGAGAGAAAGAGAGAGAAAGAGAGAAAGAGAGAGAAAGAGAGAAAAGCGAGGTCGCACTTTCGCACGCGCTCCGCATAGCTTACTCCCAGTATTCCTCGACAGATGCGACGCTGTCGTTGGTCCTGTCGGAAATATTCATGTCGGTCGTGACACAGTCGTCGGTGTTCCATTCGTTGCCACACGTGCTCCACGGCAGCACGCTTTGGAAGATGGCAATGAAGTAAAAGATCGCCCAGGAGACGATGACGTTGACGTAGATGTTCATGAGACTGCACAGGACGATGGAAGCAAATCCGATGCCTGGAGCACGTTGTCAGAAACAAAATTAATCTTACCACTTAAAATTTTCTCGTAGACCGTCGACAGCACTTTGTCTCGTATTGTTACGAGGAAATCTGCTACGATTTTTCATTCAGGTAACTTCGCAGCGCGTCTGTCAACGGTCTAAGAGAAAAAGTTAATGTTAAGACTAATTTGGTTTCTGACAACGGGCTCATGATATACAAATACGGTAGAGGTCGCAGCCAAATATACGTCTATGAAAATCGTAGAAAGTAGAAATACTCCAGTTAGTCTAAAAGCCTTGTGAAACCAGTTAACAACACTGTCAACAACTGTTTCCTACGAAGCTGCTCGTTGAGTACGAGTAGTAATCACGCCATTCTTTATTAGTTAGAGCATCTAATGTAACGTTGAATTATGTTTGAGTTTGTATAAATGATAAACTAAGCTAAAACTTGTGTATTAAACTGAATAAACTTTAATATCTGACACACAGTGTAGTCACATCTTGCACAGAGAGACAAAGAAACGCGCACACGCGCGTAAGCGCGTGTGCTTACTCTCGCGATCACAACCAGACTCCTCCACTCCTACATCTCTGTCCTCCTCCTCCTCCTCCTCAATCTCTCCTAACCTCCTATATATTACCCCCAAAACTCCTACATCCTGAGCGCACATGTACCCGTTCTCCCAAACCGCGTCCTACCTCCATTTCACAATGACCCTAGAAACGCCCGACCTAAAACACGTTTATCATTCTCCCTATAACATCAATCTAGCCGCACAAAATGCGCGACGCTTTGTCTACATAGACTACCACTAAAACAACCACCAGCCTAGCCTCGTTGACTAATTCATGCAACATTTGTAAAACATATGTTACACTAACCTTTACTACTAACTAATAAAGTAGATAGTATGCGTTAGTATAGCAAGTAGCAAGTAAGCACTTGCTGCTTGGTAATATGATATACAGTCCGCCCTCCTTTATAGTCCGGGAGCTAGAAGGGTCCACCGTGCACCCCCCCCCCACCCACAAACTTCCGAACCAATATTTTTCTGAAGCCCCATGACGCCCTGATCACGAAAATAAATGTTAACATTGCGTAAGTTGGGACGAACTTCCGGTTATAACATCATCAAGATGGCCGCCATAGTGAAATTTACCAAAAATGTGAAAAAAATCATAAAATCGTTATTTTTCGATCAAATTTAACAAGTGAGGTATCAAAATTACCACAATAGAATAACAAACAGATCTATTAACAAAACTAATTACTATGAAAAGATTCATTTTCGAAAAAAATGAATTTATGTCGATTTTGAGGTCAAAATTTCATGGTTATTATTTTCTCTCTCACACACTCACGCGCGCGCGCTTTCTCTCTCTCTCTCTCTCTCTCTCTCTCGACCTCTATCCCCCCTCTCTCTCTCACACACACTCTCACGCGCGCTCTCTCTCTCTCTCTCTCTCTCTCTCTCTCTCTCTCTCTCTCTCTCTCTCTCTACCTCTATCCCCCTCTCTCTCACACACACACTCTCTCTCACGCGCGCGCGCGCTTTCTCTCTACTTATATCACCCTCTTTCTCTCACACACACTCTCTCTCACGCGCGCGCGCGCTCTCTCTCTACCTCTATCCCCCTCTTTCTCACACACACACTCTCTCTCACGCGCGCGCTGCTCTCTCCTCTACCTGCTATCCGCCTTTCCTCTCTCTCGCCTTCTTCCATCTCTCTCTCTTGCGCTCTCTCTACTGTATCCTACCTCCTCTTCTCTCTTCCTGT